AATGATAACAAAGATCCTCTTAAAATGTTTATATTCTTACAGTAAAAGGTTAAACTGATATTTATATAATAAAAGAGGAAATATGAAGTATGTTTTTTTTTTTAAAAAAAAGCACAAAAAAAGAGAAAGAACCATGGATAAGCTAACAACATCTCCAGTATCAGTGAATTACAATCTTCCACTCAGATTGGAGAATTATTCGCCTTCATGAAGGAACTTTACTTAGGTTGCCCCATCTCAAGTGATCAGTCTTGTACATACACAAACATTAGCAAAACTAAATGGAGTCAATAGGTTTTATATACATGAGCATATTTATAGACATATGACAATATTTTTTTGAGACAAGGTTTCTCTTTGTAGCTTTGGGGTTTGTCCTGGAACTGGCTCTTATACAACAGACTGGCCTCAAACTCACAAAGACCTGCCTTTCTCTGCCTCCCAACTTCTGGTAATAAAAGTGTGTGCCACCACCGCCTGACTAACAATAATAATTTTCAGAAGACAATAAATTTGGGGATGGGAGCAGCAACAGAAATAATGCTATTGCACTGCTTTTGTATGAAATTCTTAAAACTGATACTAATTTAGAAAAATAAACTGTAAGGTTTTCTACTTCCTTCATTCTCTTCTTTCTACTGAACTCGGGAATAGAAATTTAAACATTTTTTCTCACTCTGATCATGCAATATTATGGTTTCACAACATCACATTTCTGTTTCTACCCATGGAGCACAATCAGATTTCACAATAATATTTTTCCATAAAATTGTATTTGTAAATGAAATTATTTAAAACTGTCAGCCTTTGATATCAAATGGTTCAACACTACTTGGACATATCCTTCACCTTTAGAGGTATCTCACAACCTTGAATCCTGGTGAGCATGTTTTATACCATCTGTAACTACTGTGATTGTGTATGTGATGGACCTTATTGTGAGATAAGTGGCTACACTGTACTACAGCTGGGCTACACACTTTCACTTAAGGGCATTCAGCACTGCATGAAAATAGTTTAGAATGTTTGAGATCATGTTGGGCTAAATTTGTTGGCCTGATAATTTCTACCAACAAATAATGCATATAGTAATGTCCAGAAAAAATATATTGGATCAAATTTCCACATTGATGAAGTACAAAAATTTGCCTATGAAGCTTTAAACATTGTTCATCTTCTAGTTATGCATTTATGTTCGTGAGACCTTATGTGTGTAGCACCTGGCATTCCTTAGATACATATTCTCACAGTGATTTCCCTGTTTCTCTGTATCTTATAATCTTTCCCCACTCCCTTCCACAGTGATCTCTTAGGATTTGGAGTTGTACTTAATGTGTTATTGCATTTTGCTTCCTTCTTCACTTCCTCATATCTCCTTTTACTTTTCTCCTCCTAATTCTCCTCAGAGTAATCCTTTGATTCATTATCATTTCCGTCTTCCACTTCCTCCTACACCCCTCTTCCCTCCCTCGTCCTCTTCTGCTTTAACCAGAAAACCAATTCATTTTCTTTATTTTATTTAATTTTTGAGGATATCCTATATGAGTACTTTATTGCCCTGAATTATGCTGATGACCATTTCAGTCTCTTCGTCCCATGATCAGATAAGGTCTACACTCACAGGTGTTTTCTCTCCACTTTTACATGCAGTGAACACTATTTACATACTGGCTGCACTGTAAAGGACAAGAACATGTAGTAACCAGGGAAACATGACATTACAGAAAACTACAGAAAACAATATTTATATTGTTGTAGGGAGGACTCTGGGCTAATGGTATGTGATGACACTAGCTTTATAATGGGTTATGTCATGAACAGAAGTGGCTTTGTGTATCCCTGTACTGTACACTCAGAACTGCTGCTCAATTTCCTGCTATTTTCCAGGAGGCGTAATAACATGAGCAGTTCAATAGGTTCTTCAAATACAGTTATACAGTGGCCAGTCTGGAGCACCTTGTGTGAAGTGTAAAACTCAACATTTATTTATTGACATTTATTTATTCATCTATTATTCATTCATTCATTCATTGTGTGTGTACATGACCTTTCTGGCTCTGCACTGTGCACATTCAACCTTGCATGTCAAGAGCCTTTGAGACTAACTGAATAAGAGAGAGCTGTGCTCTCTGACAGTAATTTGCAGACTTTTCTCATGGGTTGTAAATGTGGGACCTACAACTTGCTCCATACAATTACTTGTAGAAATATTCTATATCCAAATTCAAAGTGCTGTTACCAGAAGCTAAGCATCTGCTTAAATTCAGAGTCTTCTGCATCCAGGAGAATATTTTCTTGGAGGCATTGAATTTATTCCTTGGAACACAAAATACTTTTAGGTATTTGTTTTCCTACTGATGGTTTCCATCTGTGAGTTCTATAGGCACCCAGTAAAAAACAATGGTCTGCTGGTTCTGAGCACCAGAGTCACTGTTGTTCTTTGTTCAAAGGTGTTCTGACCACGGTGCAGTTGCAAGAGTCAGGGCCCTGTCTGCTGAAGCCTTCTCTGTCACTGTTCCTCATCTGTATTTTCACTGGTGACTCCATTAAAGGTAACTGGGTTTGTTAGCATCCAGGGAAAGGGCTGGTGTGAATGGTTAGAATTTATAGTGATGGACACACAAGGTACAACCTGTCTCTCAAGAACTGAATAACTATGACAGTAGACACAATGGAGAATCAGTTTTCCCTGAGGCTGAACTCTGTGACCACTGAAGACACAGCTGTGTATTACTGTGCAAGAAGCTCAGTGATGGATCTTCACTATGAGTTCAAACAAACAACTTTCCTTTAGGGGACAGAGTGCCTCTGTGGCTGTAGACACTGAGTGCTCACCCAGTCCTGGGTCTCATCCCAGAAACATGTACAGTGAAGAAAGACCAACCACTTCCGATTAGCTGAGAAATGCTTCTTCCATCAATATTTCAGCAGTCTCCTAGGCACATTATTTCTTTGCTTTGTGGTTTCGTTTTCAAATATCTTTAACAGGCAATAAAGTAAAAGCAGTAAAATTTTTCTCATTAATTAAATATATTCATTCATTTTACATTCCAACTGCAGTTTCCCCTCCCTCATTTCCTCTCATTCTCCCCCCCCTTCCCTCACTTTTCCTATTCCTCTCCTCCTCTGTTCCTGTTCAGAAAGGGTAAACCTCCCATGGGTGTCAACAAAGCATAGTATATCAGGCTAAAGGAAGACTAAGCTCTTCCCTTTGTATTATGGCTGGATAAGGCAATGCAGAACAATAAAAAAGAGGTTCCTGCAAGCCAGCCAAAGCTTTAAGGGCAGGCCCTATTACCACCACTAGGTGTCTCACAAGAAGATCAAGCTACACAACAGTCACACAAATACAGGGGACTTAGGTCTGTCCCATGCAGTCTCTCTAGCTGTCAGTAAAGAGTCTGTGAACTCCTATGATCCCAGGTGAATTGTTTATGTGGGTTGTCTTATGATGACCATGATCCTCAGGCTCACACATTACTTCCCTCTCTTAAACAGGATTTTTCAAACACTGCATGGTGCTTGGCTGTGAAACTTTGATTTTTTTTTAAGTCACTGGATAAGTTTCTTTCCATAAGGTTATCTGAAGACAGTTAAGGTAGTTACCAGACTGTTTATATGTAATGAACAGTTCATGCTGCGTATCCACTATATCTAGGAGTCTTAACTGGTGTCATTCTTGTATATTCATGGGTCTTTCCTTTAGGGGTTTTTACTTGACCCAAAAAATGATCTTCAAGACATTTCTTTCATTACTCTACCCCTCCATTTACACTATAACAAATCTCTCCAGTTTCCATCTCATCATCTCCAATTCAAAAAGGAGATCTCTTCTTGACCCCTTCCCAGTAAAATCCATTCATACCCATCACCATTTGAACCATCCTTGTTTCTTAGCCTCTTTGGGGCTGTGGATTGTAGCATGGTTATCCATTACTTTGTAGCTAATATTTATTTATGAGTGAGGACATAGCATGTCTGTTTTCCTGGGTCTTGGTTACACACTCAGAACTCTTTTCCAGTTCTATCCCATTGCCTTCAAAATTCGTGATAACATTGTTTTAACCAGCTGAGAAATACTCTGTTGTGTAAATATACCAGATTTTCTTTTTTCATTTTTTGGTTGATGGGCATCTTGGTTGTTCCCAGGTTGTGGCTATTATGAGTAATGTTGCTATAAACATAGTTGAACAAATGTACTTGTGGAATTTTTGAGCAAACTTTGGGCATATGCCCAAGAGTTATATGGGTGGGTTTTAAGGTAGATTTATTCCTAGTTTTCTGAGGAAACTTCCTTACTGA